TATGTCATGCTGGTGTGATGCCATTGTATTTTCCTTTAGGGACATTACAAGAATAGTAAGAGCATAAACTAAATGGATATATTATTATTATTATAAAACTGTAGAACTTAATTGTTTATATGTTTGTACAAGCTCATAGCTGGTCATATTCTGCATACATTTATTTTCATGTATTTACCCAGATGACGCATACATTTCTTGTCAAAGAGGCAGTACAGCAGGTAGCTATGCATCTCTGTCATATATGTGAACAGAATACCCACAATTTTTAGGTTTTTGGGGGGCTTTGTCTACATTACAAAGAAGCTATCACACGTTTATCTTTTTTTCACTTCCAGTGTGAGGTAGTATATGTCATACAAGATTGTGTGATTACTGATTTGAGCATTTGTTGTTATGTATTCTCAGCTTCACTTAATTTTAGTCTTTCAAGCATGTCTGCCTCTCTCTCCTGATTTTTTTCTTTTCTACCCCCCCTTTTCTTCTCTAGCTGGTGGCAGCAGGGAACTTGCCATGCATTTCACGTTGAACTCAGAGTATGTTGCTATGGTGGTTGCTAGGGATTTAGCCTAGAGTGACGTGGAAAGTCCAAATATTAAAGGTGTCCTTCTGATGCAGAGGCAATGGAAGCTATAGGGAATGAGCAGTCACCTCAGAGACAGTTTTTATGTGCCCTACCATTATCATGCTTCACGTTTTGAAATATCAGAATTGAATTTCATAACACAGGAAATGAATATGCTAATAGACGCATAATGCTTGTTCACTAATTTTCTCATTTTGGAGTGTATGTACCGAACATTCCCAACATCCCCCTCATAAGCACCACCATTTTACTTAAATGACTTAAGATAACAGAAAGTAACATTTAATGTAGGAATGACTAGAAATATTTTATAACAGGAAGTCCTTTCATTTAACCTCTCAAAAGGATTGTTCTTAAAATGCAGTGTTTAATTATTTTTAATCAAAATAATGTCATTGTGTAGTGGAGGATATACAGACAAAATAACTGGATTATCTGGCAATATAGGAAAATCTAAAAGGAAGATGGGTCAGCCTTTGTCAGTCAACTCCTGTTATATACAGTAAATCCTTTATCTTTAGTTTGAAGAAGAAAAGCAAGAATTAAATAATAAATCTATTTTCTGTTTGCAGTGTGATGATTTCCTTGAAGGTTAAATGTGTAGTTATTTTCATTAGATTGTGCTCATAGCAAGTTTATTCTGAGAACACTGTACATACTGTATCTCAGAGTTCTTTTCAAAACAAAACATGGAATCATCCATGTGCTATTTTACTGTGCCTTGTGGTGCAAGTATATACTGGAAAATACAAAAAAAGTACACAAGCTAACCTGAGAATGGTTGACTTGACTGTTGTGCATCAAATGATTTGCAGCATGTGTGAAAAGATATAGCTGTAGGGGCTTATTTACTGAGAAAATGATTTTAGAAATATGCTAGCACTATGTATTGTTTTACCTATTAGCTGACTAACCTAACCATTGTAAGCAAACATTGGCTTAGCACGTATTCTTGAACAAGCTAAACCTTTAGTTTAGTTTAGTTTATTTCAAGCATGTAAAAAATAAAATAGCATTACAGAAATAAAATTGTGAGAAAAGAAAAAAAAATCAAAAGAAAAAGGTAGTGCATATACAATACAAGAAGAAAAAACTAATAACAATATAAAGATAAAGTAGTATACAATTCAGTCATATCACATTCATGAAGTAAATTTACAGATACTACCACCATTGCATGCTTGAAAGGGAGTACAAAGAAGTACAGACTTATCTAGTTCTACCCCCTTTCTTAGACCATAGTATAGTTATGCAAGCGCCATCGACCCTGCCAACAACCACCCAGGCCCCCAAAAACCGCCAAGGACCAGCCCCGACATGCACCCAACATCCAGCACCAAACAACCTACACCACGGTGACTCTACTTGCACTCTAACACAAATTCGTCATTGCACACACAGATCGTCGTGTACTATACAAAATAACACTGTTAAATACAGTAACTCAATACAAAAACAGCATTCACTTAATCAACACCTCTCACATCCACAAGATTAATACAAAGTCTATACATTAATTTTATTATCATACACCACACCCCGAGTACTCCCATATGATCTGCACTATACCTCATCTTTCCTATACCTTGAAATACAGCCTCTTTTATATTTATATTTAAACGGTTTTATGCTTGTACATTGTTTTAAATCATCCTTTAATTTGTTCCACAATTTTACACCACTTACAGATATACAGAAACTTTTTTTAGTTGTACATATAGAGTAAATTTTTAAGTTTAAATGGCCTCTTAAATTGTATCCTCCCTCTCTCTCATTAAACAGTTTTTGAATTCCACCCGGCAACTGATTGTTTCTGGCGTTATACCTAAACACAGCAGATTCATACTTCAATAGATCAAAAAATTTTAACAATTCAGACTGTATGAATGATGCACTGGTATGATCCTGGTATCCAAGCTTATGTACAATTCTTATGGCCCTTTTCTGAAGTATAAATAATGACTGCAGTGAACTTTTGTATGTATTTCCCCAACTCTCAACACAATAATCTAGATATGGTAAAATTATAGAACAATAAAGAATGCAAAGTGACTACCAATCCAGAATATGTTTCACTCTCGCCAGTATGAAAATGCTTTTAGCCATTTTGTTTTGTATATATGGTTTCTAGCAAATTTTATCATCAGTAATAACACCTTGAAATTTCAAACTCTTTCTATATTAACACCTCCAACCATTACTTGGATTTGATTGTCAAGCCTACGATTACAAAATATCATGAATTTAGTCTTATCCAAATTAAGTGATAATTTGTTTGTATCAAAACCATTTCTTTACCTTTTCAGTTTCCTGCGTAATCAAGTCCAAAAGTTGCTGGAAATTCTCACCAGAAGCCCATATGGTAGTATCATCAGCAAATAACAGAAATTTCAATAAGTCATATACTTTACATATATCATAGATGTATAATATAAAGAGTTTAGGACCCAAGACTGACCCCTGGGGGACACCACATACAATGTCCAAATGTTTTGACTGGTACTCACCCAACTTAACAAATTGACATCTATTTGTCGAGTAGCTTCTAACCCAATTCAAAACCATCCCTCTAATCCCATACCTTTATATTCCCAGCGTATGTTTCTTATTATCCATGGCACTAGTGGCATCTTCTATCAGTTCAATTATAGCCAGAGATGTTGATCGATTCGATCTGAAACCATATTGACTTTCCGTAAGAATTTTATATTTGTCTATAAATTTATCCAGTCTGTCATTAAAGAGTTTTTCTAAGATTTTTGAAAATTGTGATAGCAGAGAAATAGGTCTATAATTTGTGAAGTTGTGCTTGTCCCCAGATTTGTACAGTGGAATAACTTTTGCTATTTTCATGCTGTTGGGGAACTGCCCAGTTTGAAATATGTGCGATAGTGGTTTGGAAATCCATTAATAACCCATTTTACAGTAGCCATATTTATTCCATCACTATCAGTAGATGTCTTATTTTCACATTTATTAATTATATCTATAACCTCATTTTCATCTATTGGTTTAAGAAACAAATAACTCATGTTTCTATCAATAAGACTGTCACTTGTGCATGAGGATGCATCATTGGTACAAATGTTTCTTGCTATATCAGGCCCAACATTAACAAAAAAAAAACTGTTAATTTAGTTTACTACATCCTCCATTATGTTGACAGGCTTATCATTATCAACAAAATAGTGAGGATAGTTCTCCTTACTATGACTTACTTCTTACCACAGAGAAAAAAACACACATACACTGTGCGCACAGGGGTACAAACACACAAATTAATTAATTAATTTTATTTTCAGAATCATCAGTTTCCAGAGCTGTAAGCATCTTGTTAGGACATGCCACACTGGTGGCCGATTGATCAAACTGTTCTGTCACTGGTGGTGAATTGCCATTCATCCTCTTCTATGGGAAATCTCGTTTCCCCCATTTGCGTGTAGCACCTTGCCTGGCAACCTTTTGTTCAAACTTTCAGTCCAAGAAGACCACCAAACAGATAACAGAAGCCACACCAGCTGAGTGTATTGTTGCACTAAATGATTTGTTGGTTGTGACTATAATAAACACATTTCCTAAGCTATAATGTGTGAATTGTTAAAGCATTCACGTTTCTGGAGTGTAACTCAAGACAGACCGAATAGCAAAGGTAGAACAGGTGTCAACAACTAAAAGATAAATCTATGGAAGGCAGCTTGTCATACTCTTAACTGTTTAAATTGTAAACTTAAAATTAAATTTGTCAAGAGTTTAAGTAATAGATCATTTAACCTGGTCCCTGACATTGATCTCTCTTATTATTCTTTAAATTGGAAACAGAAAACTTATAGCCTTGGCTAAGCACCAATAACAGTAGCTGTTAGCTTATGATCATATCTTTGATTGGATGTTTGCATTCTCCTAAGTGCCTTTTTTTCCGTGTGTGACTGCTTGATAAGAAGACATATTAAACCTGTGACAATCAATAGCAGCCAAAATGATAATGTTCAGTACCCATCTCAAGAGCCCAGCAAGGCCCGAGGAAAGAAAGGCTTGCCCTGCCCTTCCTCCCACTTGCTCTTGTATTGCGTTTTCCTGTCTTGCAGCCCACAGCTGTAGCAACCATCACCCAACCTCAGGTAGTTTAGCCAGCCCTGAGAAAAAAGCCTAAACCCCAATCAATAACCTTAGTCTGCCTAATTGCTCATTGGTCAACATTGGCGCCAGACTAGATGTACTGTAAGTGCATGTTCCCCCGAGTGATCGACTTCGGCTCTATTTCCACCACTTCCCGCCTAGTGTTGGGCTTACAGTCTGCCCCCTCTCTCTCTCTGTCCTCGCCTCTGTTCACCCATGTTCGCAATGGAGAAATCCTGACCTAACCGGCTACTCCTCAGTTATCTCAGCGGGATGAGACCATCCAGAGATTCCTACAAAATGTGCTGCTCTCTCACCAGGCCCGTGACTCCCAGGCTGCTCAGGTAAATATTTAGGTTTAATGACGAACAGGAAGATTAGCCAGTTACTCCTGCTCGCAGCTTCAATGAACGCCAGGAAATTAGCCGGTCTCATTCAGGGTTTTCTGAACAGCTTATTATATGATCTAATGCAGATGCATTTTATGAGCATAGAGCAGAGTATGGAGAGGGCACTATTGATTGCACTCATTGTGAATTATGTGAATAGATAAAAGTGTGAGGATGCATATATATTAGGCAATTATCTGCTCAGGTGGTAATGTAAAAATTCTGCTGAATAAATATGAAATATGCCTATCAGCATCCAACTTGTGTCCCATCGACACTAGTCATTTGAGATGATAATTGGGATAGTATGTTTGCCTTTTTCTGATGAGATGAGATATTGCAATAGCTCTCCTCCGCCTGGATTTATATGGGTATTGATCAGTGGGGGGCTCTCAAACTCAAATCAAAACAGCAGTACAGCCCTGGCACACTTGCCTATACTTCTTCCTTTGTTTTCCACATCATATTCTCAAGAATTTTCACAATCCTCGTATATAAAACATCTGTTACTATGTTGTTTCACATAAGAAGCTCATTTGTATTTGTTCTTGCCCTCTTTTTCCAATAGTAGTGTGCTAATGTCATGATTTAAATGAAGTATTGATCAGTTTAGGAGGGGAGAATAGAGAGAGAGGGAGTGATTGTGAGGGAAAGAAAGCAAGACCAGGGTTATCGGTGTGGATCGCACACAGAAAGACAGTGCAAACGGATGAGACGCGTTTTAAGCGATTCCGAGAAATGGATTTCTGCTCAATTTGTATTTTTAATTTAGGAATAACCGCCAGGCTCTTTTGTTTGACTTATTTCAAGAAGCAAAAATGGACATGGATATGACATCAGTGCTTTCAACAGGGAAGTAATGGAAAGTGTCTTTTTGTTCTTGGTTTTTGATTTCATGGAGTATTTGCCAGCCTGTGTGCAGATTGTTAAGTCATGGTTTGTCCTGTTTCCTGTCTGGGTCTCCATCTTGTCTGGCTATGGATTCCTCTGCACTGATGACACTGCAGCAGCATTAGGCACACTGAACTAAAGCCTCTGTCATAGTGAACCAGCAACTAGGTCTGTTTGTTTTCCTCCTGCTGTCCTCCCTTCCTTACTCCCAAGCTTCCACCTCTTCCTCTCTCTCTCCTGCTCTCTCTCTCTCGCTCCTTCTCCATCCCTTCCCCTCTTGTGATTTAGCACAGAAAGGTTGTGTTAATTAGTGGCCAGTTTATTATTGGTGCAACTACTGGGCAGGCAACTGCATGTTGCTCATTTGACAGGAAGAGTTTCTCTAAACATTTGATATATACAGTATAATTGCTATAAAGCTGTACATTTTAAAGCTGCAGGATTCCCTGTACTATTTTGTAAAATACTCATGCTTACTTTTTATAGTTTTGTTTATCAGATAATGTAAAATTTGTCTGAGAATAGTACATTTGTCCAGACTTTCTTTAGTGTTTTATTTGTATTCATTGATGACCTGTTTCTTATAGATATAAGATTTTGTGAAGTGATTTATTAGAAATTATTTTCATTAATATGAATTATTAAATTTTTACCTGAATCTGAAATTATGCAGTTTTCTGTTTAATTATTTTAATTTGTTTCTTGTTGAATGTTCTAGCCTGCACAGAGTTACAAACCAGCTGACTAGAATAAAAACTGTATCCTAGCATCAGTGAGTGTATTGTTCGTTATTTCACCACGATACATTTGTTTCAAGTAAGTATTGGATTTTGTGTCAAGAAATTGAGCTTCATCTTCTGCAGTCTTTCTGATACAATTAGCAGAACAAGACAGATATTAGAACTGCCCCTAATAGGACTCTGGCTTGGTTTATTTCTGAGTATCTGCTTAGGAGAATAGGGAAACATAATGCATCTTAGCCTCAGCCTCTGTGAGCAGGTTGGCTGTGCAGAGAGGATAGGACTGGATCTGTGTACTGGATTGATTTTTCTCCCCTCGCCACCCTGCCTCTTTTTGTGGTTCAATAGCTTGACATCTAGGAGCAAGGATCTCTCAGTTGCTGCCTGAACTGCAGGAGAGCTGGTTGGATCTCCGGAGGAACAGAGTCGCGTGCAGCAGTAAGGCATACCGCCAGGCCTAGGAGCTCCAGAGTCAGGTACAGTGCTCGCTATTAGGCCACGGTTTTTACAGCAGGCCTTATGCTCAGGACCATCATTGTTGTGCCTGTCCCTTTCAGTACATTTTGAGCAGAACAATATTTTGCGGGGCAAATTTGAAATACTTCCATCCTACTGTTGCTTCATTGATCAAATGAGGTTTTGTTGGTGTCATCTAACCTAGAGGAGGCAGTGATGTACACTGCCAGTCAAAGGTTTGGACACACTTTGCCATTTGATTCAATGGGAAAGTGTGTCCAACATTTTGGCTGGTAGTGCACAAACAGTGGAGTCAGCGGACAGACATGTTCTGTATGACAAACAGACAGACAGTTAGTTACACTGACAGGTAAAACAAACCCAGGATTCTGATGACTAATGACTGAGGGTTTTGACGTGTTCAGAGAAAAAAACGCTGCTTGTCACCTTCCTTACAGGAAACCCCCACCCCCCCACACTGACCAATGGGAATCACCGACTGTGTTGATTGTCAATGTCTGTGTCACCTGTTGCTAAGCCTCTGGGCAGACTCTGTTTGTGGTGTTCAGTTGGAGCCTGTGGTGTCATTTCGGTCACACTTTCTCGATGTGGTGACTGGAACATTCACAGTGCTGCCTTACCTACTCTGCTTAACAAAAACTGTTTATAATGAAACCGTCACATGGATGTCTTTAATTCAGCATCTCCCTCAACATGTCAGGTGATGTAAAGTTGATATTGTGATGCTGTCTCATGAAAATTTATACAATGTATTGTATCAGTAATACTGATAGGCAAGACATTAATAGCACCAACAAACAAGTCATCCATAAAACATTTGATCTATGCAGTGATTATAAAGTTACTGTGACTGTTAGATTCTGCTGTGGCATTTCATTCACTTTCAAACATATGCTAAATGGATGGTCAATGCTTGCTCATTTTGTGTGTTTCCATTGTTGACTGTTGCTTGTAAAACTGTGTACATATTATAGTACATGCCAGCTGTTCTCTGTCAGCTTGTCTGATGTTTCAGTACATCACACAGCCATTCATTATGTACATTCATGGGCCATGTTCAACATAATCACATAGAATAGATTTTAAAATTATAAGTTAAGAACATGTTTGCTCTGATACATCCATCCTGGATCAATTTAGATTAAAACTCTCTTCCTCATTAGTTTATAATATGCACTAGAAGCCCAAGAACAACCTCTGCCTCCTTACTGCATCTTTGCAATAAATGTTGTAATAGTTTTTCTGACCATGAACAACCACAGTTGGTATAGTTTGACTGGAACATCCCCAGTACAGTATATATATTTTACTGCCAGATTAGAATGCATTTTAACAGTACAGATAGCTCATTCAAAATTGTTCATTGTATAGAGTTATGGTGCTATAGTATGTGCAGTAGTATGAATAAGAAGTGCTGGTATAATTATTTTCAAATCAGTGTATTCTGTTTCTAAATTATTGAAGCACTTAATGCTTTCAGTTACATACAGTGGATAATACACATGTCAAATGTTAGACTTCTACTCAAGTTTTGTTTATATATTTACAGTATGTAGAGGCCGATAATGGAGCACTAATGTAAGCAGGAGCGGACAGCTCAGGTCAGCTTAGCAAGAATACTTCACGACCATACATACACACCTCCGCACACGTAACCAACCTATATTCACAGGGCTACGCAGACTGTATGGACATGCCTGGCTAACAAAAGAACAATCACACCTAAAGGAGACTGATAAAATAGAGTGCATTCACTTTTGTATTTGCATATACCCATCCATAGTCCTTAAACTCTGTAAATCTACATTGTCACCATTTAAACCACTGCTGCACAGTACATGATATAGCTTTTTTATAGATATGTAATTGCACCTTATCTGTATCAAGGTTTTAATAGTTATGTGTCATAGCAATATATAATGTCAAAAAAGCAGAGTATCAGCTGATAATGAAATAGAATATTGACTGCACAGTAATTTTATTGTTTTTTTTAATCAAAATGCATACTTACGTGTATGGATAAACTGTTCAACTCTATATGCTAAGGAAAGCACACATACAAAATGTCAGTACTAAATGTGTGTACAGTAGAACACTTTTGGAACCATTTCGGGGAAATTCTTGGCACTACAAAGACTTTGCTGCAGTTTCTGGCAGCAGAGCCTCTGTTTGTCCAGACCCTTCAATGGATTCAACATAAAGTGTTTTGAGGTGCTATCAAGTAACAGCATTGTTACTGTCAGTTAACAGGGGCACGAACAAACAAAGTTTTTTTTGGAACTTCAGAGAGGTGTTGATTTACCTGTATGGTCATTTTGGAAAATATAGTTTGTGTTGTTGCTGAACTGTACTGCATTATACAGAGAGGTCCTTGTTATTTAGCCTAGCCTCATTGATATAAATAACAGTACCACTTCTCTGTATAAGCAATACAGTTCAAGGGCATCACAAAGTGCAGGCTCCAAAATGGTCATACAGTTGAATCAACACCTCTCTGAAACAGTTCCAACAAAAACTGATAACTAAATAATATAATAATGTAATTGCACATGAAAGGCCCTCAGTGATAGCACAGAGATTTGTTAACCAGCCCATTCAGCAAATAAAACCTTTAATAAACAGATTGTGGATCAGTTGTACAAGTCTGCTCTTACCAAACAAGGTGGCAGTCTACTCAAGAGATAAAGTAAAAATCAGAACATAACTTTAGCTTCACTTCAGGTTTAATTTTCTCAGTAGATTAAGTGTTGATGACAAAGTTTGAGCTGAATGCGGCTCTTGAAAAAGTTGTAGCAACCCTTTATGAGATTTAGGGACAGTAACATACTGTATAATATGCAAATTGTGGTATCAATTGACACATTTAGACTTTTCACACTCAAAAGTAATTGGCAGCACTTTTCCCAATAAGTATAAAAAACATCAAAGGTGTTTTTGGACAACCCCTTATAATTTGTGTCTTCAGTTGCCTCGGCCATTGGTAATACTTTAGGCGCAGAAAATCAAACATATGCAGCCATAAAACCTCTAGTGACAATCAGAATGTAATTAATTGGAACACACTGAAGAGTTCACTGCTTTTTTAAACATATTTATAGACCCTTTTGGCCATGCAGTGTGTGCTGGTGGCTGCATGTATGCTCCTATATGTGTACTCATGAGCTTTCCACATGTTCTTTCCCATTTGACAGTTTCTCCATTAACCTGGATGAACAGCCATTCCCAGTCTGGAAGCTGGCAAGTCTCAGGAAAACAGATGACAGATAGTGATGTTAAACATAGATATGGCTGAGGGCCTTATACAGGATATTATATTGCTAAGAAATAAAATGGATACTGGGAGGTACACTGGCATGATTTCCAGGGATATTGAAAACTGGAGATGGACCTCACCATCGCTATAATGAGCATCAGAAGACAATACACTTTCTGTTTGGAAAAGACCATCTGTCTGTTGTCCCTGTGCTTGAAATGTTTGTATTTATACTCTGCTTTTCTACAAGAATTAAACAACCAAATATTTATTGTTCACTATTTGTGAGTTTTGGATATCCTGGGCACTTTTTAAAATCTTTGGATAAAGCCAGGCTAGTTGTTCGCCACATTGACACACTTTATGCCAGGTCAGGCTTAGCTAACCATCCCCAGGCTGTAGCTTTACATTTAACAGACAGAAATGAGAGTGGTTTTAAGCAAGACAGAGAAGAAGCATATTTCCTGAATGTCAAACTACTACTTTAAGCATGTATGCTTATCTGTCATACAGGTGTACCAGAAATGACCGAGAAATGCTTTTTGCAGAGTACAGATTGGCTGCAAAAAGAACCCAGGTGGAACACAGATGTAAAGATCTTGGAGGCAAAGACCTCCCTGCCAGGAAAGGACAAGGGACATCAGGAGCAGGGTGGTACTGGTAGGTACCACTATGTATGTGCATGCTACTCAAGAAATGCCTGTATGTTTATAATTACTAGCATATACTGCAATTACCTTTTACCATCCAATTTTCAGGCTGCAAAATTAATGATATGGGTGTTATGTCATTCAAACCTACAGTGCTGTCATTAATAAGGGTGGAAAAAGTGTTATCTACAACACTGGAAATGAGCACCAACTTCAGAGTATTGAGCACTGTATGTCTACCTAGTGTATATACGTTGTCTTAAATTTATTGCGTAGCCTTTCTCTCAGCCACCCATTACAGCAACACTACATTCTTCTTATTCACTGGAGGTTTAGCAAGTTATATGTGAAAAAAAAGAGGATTTTCTATGTGAGTGTTGGCACAGGCAGGCATATATAGGTTTGCACGCATAGAATAGAGATGTTGTTTTTATTGTATTCATGTACATGTATGTCTGTTTGTGTATGTGTGCGGAGACATGGGTTTCTGGTGTTTCTGGCTTCTCTGTCTCTGTGTCACCTTTGTTGACTTTGTTTCTCTCCTCGTGCAATGCTGTGCTCTCTACTTTAATGACGTATATATCCTATCTCCAGTCACTGCCTAATCCCAGCAGTGCTGGCTCAGGAGCAAATGACTGCTTCCAGACACCAGAGGGTGGGGGCTGGATGGGAGAACGAGATTCCTCACTCATACAAGATACATACAGAGAGACTGTGCAGCCAGCACATTCCTGTCAGCATTCACACATATGCATGTACATCAACATATTTACAGAAACATCCACTAAAATGTCTTATGTTCATTTACATTTTACTGACTTTGACATGTTTTTTTTTTTTTTTATTCAGAAACATCAAACCTCCAGTACAATACAACTTTAGTCCCCAAATGTCTGGTATAAGAAGATTTTAAAAAATAAAAATGGAACATTGTAAAAGCAAATCACTGGGCATGTTACTGATTGATCTGTTTGCTTCTGATCTTCAGACGGAAGAGAAGATCCTGCCTCTACATCCAGAGTTATCCAACATGGCTGCCCCAGCCAGCAGGTATGACTGCTCGGCCCTCAGCCAACAGAGCTAAAATAGTTATTTTCCGATGTAGGGCACTTGAGTGGATCAGTAAAGTTTCATGATGCTGTTGCATTTTCTTCAAGTTATTATTCCCTTTGTAGGATCACAATGTTTTTTTTTTTATATTTACTTTTTCCCTCTGCCAGTTCCAGACATCCTTGGCCCTTTTGCTGCTGCCTTTTTTCTTTTTTTTTTACACAAATTGGTAAACTGATTTTGTATGGTCAGATGCTTCTTAGCAGTCAGTCATAGGCTTTTGTATACATCCAGTTTTGAGGGTTATTCAATAGACAGAAGGTGAAAGCATGAACATGACAGAGGGGTAAGGTCTATGTAAGTGTGCCCATCTTATAAACATGGTTGTCCTTTGATTATTCAAAGCTTCTTGCCGAGCTGTAGCTCCAGGTGTAAATAATTGGGAGTGCTATGTGCTGTGGTGGTGGTGTCTGTCCAGTGGCTGCTGTCATCACTCCAGCTGCTTTCCAAGAACATGACTTTTAGGACCAAATGATTGCTAATAAAATCTTTGATTGAGAGGAGAAGAGAGTGAGAACCATAAACAGGCTGCATTCTGCCCTTTAATTCCACCATCTCCAGAGAATTGGTTTGGCTTTGCTGCAGACTAGGTCCCACACACAAGCAGTTTAGTTGTCTGCCCAAGGACTGAAATTTAATTTGGCCTGTGTGTTGAGTGTAGATGTGTGTGTGTTTGTGTGTGTCTGTCAGTCTGAATGGCTTTGTCTGTGCCTGTGTGTCTGTCTACATGAGTCAGTTTGAAATGCCTCAGTAAAAACTAGCATTGGATGAACTGCATATGTATGTAAGTGTTTTTGCTTTAGTGTCTGAGTGTGCATGCTGTATTTTGTGCCTTCTTATTCTCTAGTGACTTAATCGTTTTACACTGCCAGGTTGTTATAGTACCATTTTACACTGTCTGCTTGTACTGAGGCATTTATTTGCTCTGCATGCTGCTCTGTTGTTTCTGGATTTGAATTTTTTTCCTGTGTAGTTCTGCGGTTGATGTGTTTTCACTATGTTAGCCTGTAAACCTTAAAATGCTCCCAGTTACTGTTGGCATCATCAGTTTGTTGCAGAAAAGTTTTGGCTATAATTTTCTGTTGAGTGTATGTTGATTGCATGTTTAGAAAGTACAGCAGCTGAGCGTGGCTAGTTTGTAGCAGTTTTTCGTGTGTGTGTGTGTGTTTATAACGCAGGTTCCTGATGAAAGCCTAGAGCAGAGGCATATATCAGAGCTCCAGCACTAATAAAAGGCCAGCAAGCTGTGCTCCTCTCCTTCTGGGAACAGCACCGCTTTTTACTGCTTCTCTGACAGCAAGATAAAGTGCCCTTCCAATTAGAAAAATATTTGGCCACATACCTACCAACGGTGATCCTGGATTTTTATTTTTCAGGCCATTTGATGAAGAATTTTTGCTATTTTTACAGTGTGCCTTCTTATCATCATGTCCTTGCTATGCACATGTTGATGCACCCCACCACAGCATCATAATGCTGTATAATGAAATTGTGTTTTTATTTTGGTGTCTCTTTTTTGGTCCTTCTTTCATAAAGGTAGGACTGTTGTTTGGATTTGGGGGTGATTTAGCATTTTGCATGAGAACATTCATGCTGCACTGTGTGTTTGGGTCGGTGTCATTCCTGTTGCCCCTGTCATCCATCTTTGGCTCATACAGAGATGTGTGCATATATACTTAACCACAGATGCTAGTCCCCATCTCTCTTTAAGAATACTGTAGACCCCCCCCCTTTTTTTTCCAGAGAGTGCATTAAAATTAAATTCTCTCTTGTTGTTGTGAAAAGAAGCACACGTAAAAAATAATTGGCTGTAGGAGAGAACAAAGGGCTGGCTTCTCTCTCTTCCCTGCACACCCCAGCCAGGCATTAATACCAAGCCTGCTGCATTGTTCTGCTGTCTGCAGCCATCCCCCTAGCCAGACACTCAGCCCTGGAGAAGTCACTTTTAATGTCTGATAATCAAGGTGAATTTTCAAAAAGCTGCCATTTTCAAATGATGGTGTATATATTATGTGTAGATGGGAGTTCAGGAGCAGAGGAGCTCCACTGGGTGAGAGAGCATGTTTCAGCCATGCAAAGTGAAAGAGAGACACCTAACGGCCACAGAGGGAACTGCAGGGTGATTCTACCCCTAATCAGATAAAATCCAGCTGGAATATCAGTGCCATTGATGAAGTTGACCTGATAGTTGTTTTTAATAAACATGCTTTTTTGGTGTTTCATTGTAATTAGCACCACAGTGTCTACTATAAAAATGCATCATCTTATATTGCCACATCTGTCTCTGTCTCCTGTGGCGTTGGAATGTCAGAGAAATGTATTTCTAGAGTACTGACCCTGCTTGCTGTTGCCCCTTGCTGAAGGGAGCTCTTGTGCAGCATTACTGGGGAATCAGGCAGCCTGCAGCAGAGCAGTGGAGCTCAGTTTCCCTGCTACAGGGCAAAGACTCATCCTCCTCTTGCTCCTCCCATCTCCCCTCTTCCCCCACCACTAGGTATGATTATTTCTCCTCTGCTCCACCGCACCATTATATTCCAGGTCCGCAGTTACCCCTCCCTGTTGTCATTTTTCATGCATGTTTTTTCCCGTGTGCAGTGCCGCACATTTGCAGTATGCCCATGCAATATGTTAAGGAGGTGAATATATGCTGTATGCGGAATGTAATAAGTGTATATTTATTTTCTTTGCTGGTGAAATACTGGTTTTTCCGGTTCTTGAGAAAAAAGGCCGGCTCTAGCCATGTATCTTAACAAACATGACTGCTGCGTATGCACTCGCCTCCAAGGCTTTTTACTCACCGGGGAAACCAAATTATACATCTGAGGCAGACTGGTTGTTTTTCGTGCTGTGACTGTTAAAAACCTGCTTGGTATTTTGGGGTACAAGCCTTACAGACACCAGTTGGGTAAAGTTATGGTTGAGTACAGTATGTGGTATTTGCTATATTACAAACAAGATATTTTTGCAATAATTATTTGTTGATAACCGATCAGGTAGTACTTAAAATATCCATCACATAGCTGACACCAAACCAGTCAGCCACCATGAGACCAGGTTTTTTTGCCACCATCCACCCTCCACTCTCCAAAAATCAAAACACAAATACGCTACTCACACACACATACATAGCTGAAACTGACATTATACTCAGAGGGGAAGTAGATCTAACCCTGCAAAACAGTAGGATTTAAATGGATTCTGTGCTGGGAGCAGCACGATGCACAAGTCTCCCTCTGTGAGGCTGTCACAGTGGGAGACTTGCAGTTTTGCAGAACAGACAATAAAAAAAAGCTTAATTCTTAAAGATACACTACCTCATTTTATTATCGTGCCCACTACTGCCCATAAATCTGAGACCTTCCTCTCATTTCACAGGTGATTTGTAAAAGCATCACCAGTGAGCAGGAAAAAGAAAACAGGAAATATGTAGGTGATATCCCGAACTTCAGTAACTACAGAAAAAAATCGAGTCAGGTCAAATCAAAGTCTGCTGCAAAGTTGATGTAAAAATATAATCCAGTGTTTGTCATTGATGATTTGAAGCTTTCTTGCTATAGAAAGATGACATTGTACAAAATCTTTTATATAAACTCTTTAATCTTTTTGACAGACTACTTTTAAAGTACTCACTATGGTGGTTCAATTTGTATTCAGTTGTATATTGCAGCTTATATATAGAGAATATCTGTCCCCAGGCTGTGGGCTGCAGTGCACATCATATCATACCATATCGTCTATCAAGAACAACTTTGAGTGTGTTGGCAGTACTATATTGTATTGTCATATCTCTCAGTGTACAGACTGTCAAACAAGGAGGCTCACATTCCATCTTTTTCTGTTGATTCATAAAAATATACAAAATTGAAAACATCTCAGGGCTTACTGCACTTGTTCATATTCCTGAGCTGTGCACCTGGTACGGTGCCTTGATGTAACATTGTTTATAGATAACTTGGTTTTGCCTTCAGTGTGATTGCATAATAACCAAGCATTCAAATGTGTGAGTGCTTTATTTGTTCCTCGCCGGTAGTAGCGGTAGCATTATTTTTCTCTGGCTGGTTGGAGGGCATACTTTTAAAGTGTTGATCTCAGCTGTGGTGCAGAATAAAGACAGAGAGGAGGAGGAGAGGGCCGCAGGCATTCTGATGAAAGGATATGCGGGGAATTTGGAATGTGGAGAGAGAGAGAGCATTTTGCCAGTCCAGTGTGGCAAAGCAGGTCTGGCTTGGCGCCATTCTGGGCACTGTGCCCACGAGGAGGCAGTGTGTGGCTAGCACTCCGTAACACTGTGACAGACGCACTGACAGCAAGAGAGAATGTGAGACACAAGTGTGTCTCTGGGGGGGATGTCTGAGGCCGACTGGCAGAAGAGGTTTAGTGTGCATTTGCATGTGAAGTGGCCAGCTCATGATACAGCAGGAGAGCGAAAGCGACAGGGAAGAATGAGAGGAGATTTCCTGGGCAATATTACGTCACTATCTGTGGTACAGATTACTGGCCTAGTATATACAAGCAACTTTTATTGAGCTTGCAGTTAAACTTGTATCTTATTCTTACTGATGAGGAGTTGGTGGAACAATTGGCACAGTTCATTTAATCAGACATTTGTTGTTTCATTTAATCACGCACTTGATTGTTGTGTTAATTGTCTTGTCTGTTGTTTCTTTATCCACTGCCTGAGTAAATACTTTCTCCATGGGACGCAAATGTTATCTTTCTGCTTTGTATGCATTTACATATTGTTCGCCTTTCTACATATTATCTCTCTCTCTCTTCCCCCCCCACCACCACTTTCTCTGTTCTCCCCTTTGTATCTTTAAAATATTCTGCACACCCCTCAGCAGTTCCGCATGGCAGACAGCCCTAATATAATCTGTGTGTCTGAATTCTAATTTATACTGTCAGGATAAAATAAATAGTCTGCAGTTAATTATGGGGAG